GGACTGATGGGTGAGGGTAGGGCGCTGGGCTGGGGCGCTGGGGGGAACGAAGAGGGAGGAGCGGGGCGGTGGGCCAACGGGTGAAAGGCCGGGCGCATGGAGGAGGAGCCCCCGCCGGGTCCCCTCACGTTACAGTCTCTTCTCTCCCAACTCCTTTCCAGGGCAACCCCGAGCCGCAGCGCAACTTGCAGAAGAGAGAGGCCCCAGCAAGACTCTACCGGGGAACCCGCCAGCGCCTCACCCCATGGGCCAGACGGCCCTGGCAGGGGGCAGCCGCAGCCCTCCCACCCCGCAGGCCCTGTACCACGACCTCTATTGTCCCAAAGGCTTGGAGGAGCTGCTGTCTGCTCCCCCTCCTGACCTGGGAACGCAGCGGCGCCACGGCTGGAACCCCAAGGACTGCTCCGAGAACATCGAGGTCCGGGAGGGGGGGCTGTGCTTTGAGCGGCGGCCGGTCGCCCAGAGCACAGACGGGGCCCGGGGTAAGAGGGGCTACTCGAGCGGCCTGCACGCCTGGGAAATCAGCTGGCCGCGCGCGCAGAGGGGCACCCACGCCGTGGTGGGTGTGGCCACGGCCCTCGCCCCGCTGCAGGCTGACCACTACGCGGCGCTGCTGGGCAGCAACAGCGAGTCGTGGGGCTGGGACCTTGGGCGAGGGAAGCTGTACCATCAGAGCAAGGGGCCCGGGGCCCCCCAATATCCACCCGGACCTCAGGGTGAGCCGCTGGAGGTGCCGGAGAGGCTGCAGGTGGTTCTGGACATGGAGGAGGGAACTCTGGGCTACGCGATTGGGGGTACCTACCTGGGGCCAGCCTTCCACGGACTGAAGGGCAGGACCCTCTACCCAGCAGTAAGCGCTGTCTGGGGCCAGTGCCAGGTCCGCATCAGCTACCTGGGCAAAAGGAGAGGTGAGGCCCGGGGTAGGTGTGGGAGCGTGTTCTGTCACTGGTGGCTGTGGTTTGGGTTGGAAACTCAAGGCCTTTACAAGGGTGGAGGGAAGGAGCCTTTATCTGACCTGCTTCCCTACCCCTTACTCAGTGCCAGGAATGGCTAAGGGTCTTCACAGCGGTTACCTAGTTTAATCCTCCCAACAGTAAGAGGTAAAGGTGAGGCTTGGGCATGCAACTTGCTATTAAGTGGTGAGCCCCCGGAATGGAGGCCCTACAGGGAGCAGCGGTTCTCAACCTGTGGGTCGCGACCCCTTTGGCGATCGAACGACCCTTTCACAGGGGTCGCCTAAGACCATCCTGCATATCAGATATTTCCATTACGATTCATAACAGTAGCAACATTACAGTTATGAAGTAGCAACGAAAATTTTATGGTTGGGTCACAACATGAGGAACTGTATTTTAAAGGGCCAGAAGGTTGAGAACCACTGGATTAGGGCTTTATGGGAGCTAGCAGCTCCTGGAGCACAGGTGCAAAGGGTTAAATGGGTACTGGGCTACCTGTACAATTTCAAAAGAGGACAGGCAGCGCCAGGCACACAGGTTGTGTGCTAGATTCCCTGGGTCTGACCTGTGACTCATACATGCCTACTTCCTCGGTCAAACCCCAGGAAGGAACCACTGAGCCCTCCCTCCCCCCACCTGGAAGGAGAGCAATAGGGGCAGGGTTTGGGGTGGGGCTGCAGGGGAAGGACCTCCTTGGGGAAGCAATGGGACCCGGCTTTAGACTGATGGGATTTAACTGTTCTCTGCAGTTGTAGGCTTAGCAGAGGCTGGGTACCTCTCCTCCCATCACCCATGGTGAGCTGTTGTGGAGGGCTATCCTTCCTTCCACCTCATCAGCCCCATCCCCCAGGCCTCTGGAATCCAAGCCTGGGCCAGCTCCACCCCTGTCAGAGCCACCTTGGCCTGTTGCTTAGAGGGCCTTAGCTAGAGCTTCACCCCCAGTTCTGACGGGGGGGGGGGGGGGGGGGGGGGGGTGATGCCTCTGACCCTGAGAGCAGATGCAGAACGTCAGGGTTCTTTAGATCTCTTGAGCAAGGTAGGAGCAGACTCGGAGCAGGAGAGTGGAAGGGAACCCTGTAATTTGAGGATGTCTAGCTGATGACTGCACCCCTACTTACCTTCCCCTCCTTCTCTCCCCCAGCAGAGCCACACTCCCTTCTGCACCTGAGCCGCCTGTGTGTGCGCCAAGCTCTGGGGGCTAGCCGGCTGGGCCAGGTATCTGCTCTGCCCTTGCCCCCTGCCATGAAGCACTACCTGCTCTACCAGTGACCCTGTGATACCAGAGCTTTGGGGGCCTTGATGCTACCCCTCCCCAGGGGTACTGCTGACATGACCAGCTACTTAAAGCCAGTGAGGCTGGGCCCCTAGTCCCGACCCAAGCTCTGGGGAGCTGAACAGCCTGAGCCACCCAGGCGGTGAAGAGAAGGAGCTGTTATTCAAGGCTGTGGCGCCTGGTACACAAGACACTTTTTTTTTCCAAGTAAAAATAATGAGATCTGCTGTTGTAAAAATCTGTTTGTGGCTTTCTTTTTTTTTTTGGACAAAGGTCCTGTGGCTGCCTCAAAAAAGTAAAGAGAAATGATGTGGAAACATGTACAATGAAGGACAAACCACAAGGCTTAATGCCAGATGTTTATTCCCACCCCCAAGTGGGACTGCTCACATACACAACACACAGGCGTTGGCACCAGGGAGGACAGGGCTCTTTCCCAGCCTGTGGCCTCAAGTACGAGATGGGAGAGGAGGACGGCTTCTCTTTCCTGCCTTCCTC